GAAGCTTTTTTGTGCGTGAACGATGACGTAGAAGCAAGAGCGGAACTTAAAACTATAATGGGTTTAAAGTAAATATTATCGCTTCCACGTTGTATATCTTAGAGATATAGGTAGTAATAGAGTTAGACTCAAATGACTGCAATCATCAGATTTTTGCTCGAAGAAACTTTATGCTGCTTTATCTAGAGACTTAAGTTATATTCAATTTAACTGGTTCATGATTAAATTATTGCAAGCAGAAACTTCAATCTTTGTCATTTCTTTTACGAACTCTACTCGACGTCATTTGTGCAAAAGATTTAGGTCTTTTGGTACGAGTCTAGCATTGAACAAAATATGTTGAGCCGATCTATAAGAGATGTTGTGATCCTCTGCTATTCCTCTGATGTCAACACGACGATTTTTAAGCACTGTTTCTTCAACTTTCTTTTTTCAATGTTATCGTCATCACGACCTTGATTGCATGCCGTTCGTGATAAGGTAGGTTCCTCCAAAATACAATACGTTTGCAAAATTTTCTACGATTCCGTAGCCGTGATTCCATGCGGAACAAAAAATTTCAAGCAAAATCGTTGTTCAATTTGTTTTCCTAATGTAAAAGTCGCTAGACAAACCTTTCTCGTTGTACACAAAAATCTGTTAAAAATACACTAATTGACCTATAGAGATCAAACATAAAAAAGGTTGTACCAATCTAAGTAAAAATGTTTTATTTCAAGAATAGCATAAGTAATAATAGAATAAGTAATATTATATAACTGCATTAGTCCGTGTTCGAGTCACAACCGCAAATACTCCTATAATTGTAAAGAAAATATGCTGCTAGCGATGACTTTGATAATTATCAGTTTATATGTGTGTAATTATTATTTTATATCTTTTCTTAAAAATCATAAGCAGTTTGGGAATGAACTAATTGTTCTGAACTTCCTTCCTTGTACTTATAGTAGGCTGATAGGCAAATCCATCAAAAAGAGGTAGAAACTTAGCCCGAATCATAAAAATAATAAAATAATAGACTATTATTATATAAAATATGTATATGTATGTAACTGTTATGAGCATATACAAATTGAAATAAATTTTTTAACAAATTTCTCAAAACCCCCATATGAATTTATTAATATATAATATGTATGTATGTGCATGCACTTTTATATATAAAATCTGTAGTTGCTTTGAAATAATGAGGCGGTGGCAAACATCATGTCTGATAAGTGGCATGCAACAAAAGAAACAAGAAACATAAATGCCCCTAACCTTCTAAAGCGACGATAATGCACATACTTATGCATGGTATAATCCATAATGCACTACAAGTGCCCATATGCATAGCATTACATGAATACGAACTTGTACAAATTCAAATTTACATTAGTGAAAACATAAAGCAGCAATTGGAATTTCTTACCCAGCCACTTCAGTTGCAACAATGCAACTATGTAAATTGCTTGAATTTATCCCACGGAAATAAAATAATAATTATGTGCCTAGGCATTTATCTACAATTGATTCCAACTTGCTTGTATTGGTTAATGCCCCTCGGCTAATATGGGCGCATAGGTACTCTTTTTTATTAAAATATTAAATATTACATGTGTAAGTACATATGTGTATGGATGGGTGTATTTTTGTAAATTGAAAATATAGGCATTGTGGCAGTCACTGCGTCAAGTGGGCAAATGATTATTTATTTATTAAGTGAATAATATTTTTAAACAATCCATGTATCTATGCGATTTCAAACACAATTATTACATTAAATAATCTTCGTTAATACTTGTATCATGCGCTTGAGTTGGGTATTTAATGTATAATATTTACCGCGCCAGTTTCTATTTGAAAACACAGAAAGATTGGTTTAAGGGACACAGATATCTTAAAAAAGGCGATTTTTTCAATACTCAAAAAAAAAAAAGACTTTATCAATTGTTTTTAAAATTTGCGACTTTTCAAATCACATATTTATACAGATTTAAGAAAACACAGTAAAATTTTAAAGAAACAAATTTTATATTTTTCGAGTTACATGTGATCTGCGAAAACGCTAAAATAAGGTCTTCCACTGATGCATTCATTCCGACTTTCTCCATGATGAATGAAAAGATGAACTGAGAGGTACATTTAAGAAGGATTTAACTCAAAAAATTATTGAGACATTAATTTAAAGTTTTAGTATGTTATTGCTTAAGGTATAACCTTTTGAAAAATGAAAATAATCTTTTTTACACATTACTTTCACACTAGATGTACGCTTTAAAGAAAGCAATTTAAAACAATAATTGACAAGTGTGGATTTGTAATTGGTAATTTTGAGTTAACTTTGTTATGAAAGCAACCAGAAAAATCGTCTACTTTATGATAATTCTAGTATGTTTTTCCATATATTAATGAGATATGCAGTCGATTCGTTAAGATCATTCTAGAATATATCTTCGGCCTATTAAAACTTGAAAATCTTGGCTTAAATAGACTTTTAAAATAGGATTCTGATTTTGCAAGAATTTCTTATACTGATTTTATGATGTGTTCGGGGTTTTTTTCATATCTTATGATTAAGTAGGATGGACTTTATGAGTTATTTCATATATTTAATACTTTTGTGCTTTGTAATCAACAAAAGTGCTTAAGTTCTGAGCTTTATTAATCAAAGAAAATCTATCTATCTACATACAAGTATATCTTTTGTTCTCATTACACTTTTAGTAGTAAATTAAGTCACAATAATTTCTAGTGAAGTTTGAACCAAATAGTTTGCTCCTCAAAGCTTACAGTCTTATCGAGATCCCAAGCACAACGAGTCTGACTTAAACTTTATGAGTCTTCGAAGTTCTCACAAGATAATTATTTAAATATTCAACTAGAATCATGCAATCACCGTTATAGCAGCATGAACTCGACTAAAAACTCGCGAGAGAGCATTTTTGTGCTCCAAGCATTTGTAAGATTATCATATATAACATATACAGCATTTACTTTAACTCTTTCCAATTAAGAAATATTTTTCCAAAGAAAAGAGGAACGAATATATTTTAAGATAATAATGATCCGATGGTAATCAGAAAATATATTTTTTATATTTATTTTGCATTAATTTATATTGCAGAGATTACGGTGACCTGTTTTTCTGCTACAATCTAATACACATCTATTATGATCGTGTATACGCATATGTTCGATTTTTATCTGTTAAAAAAAAGCAACGAACTTGAGACACACGCCATACCATTCACCGTTCATTTCGCTTGTTACGCTTGTCATAACATATTTGTGGCCTGCGCTGGGGTATCAATTTTAGAATCGCTTTGGTATTAAATTTTTTTGTTTGGCTTATTTTATTTTTTGCTGAGATCAAGAACAGCTTTGCGTGATATTGAAAGTATAACATTGCCGAGTCAGATACACGCACCTGTCTTTGAGTGCGGCTACGAATTATGGTTAAGCAAATGAGAAAAAATTATGAAACATGAAAAAATCTTTAATGCGTGTATATACATATGTAATATTTATTAAAAGTATGTGTATTTGTTAGCTTTTAAGCATGTCTGAGAAAGCCGCGAGTAAAAAAAATGCCCTAAGCTTCATTTGTTCGCCAGCTTAAATTGCTTCCCCACAATTGGATCATTTAAGGTCTTCCGCCACTTGGAGTTAGTTGAAAAAATATAATTACAAGTTTTAAATGGATTTTGAATTTGATGCCAATTACAGCGATTACATGTTGGAGTTTTTTCTGCTTAGTTGGAATGTAAAAAGAAGACTGCTTCGAGCTACATAACCTCTAATTTGGTTAAACATTTTTTTTTTGAATTTTTTGTTTAATATTTTACGCTGAAAATTTTTTTTATAATATTTTTTTTTCAACAAAAATAGTTTTTATATTTTATGTGTTGACTCAAGAGCAGTCTCAAATTTAGTTTTCTGCCTTAATTTTACTTAAACGCCAATTAAAATGTTAATTTATGGTCAATACTAAATGTCGGCATAAAACCTAAAACCAAGCATTAGGAAAACCGAGTTTGAGAGACTTAAATTACACAAATTTACTATGCAAATTCAAATATGTTCAGCACGTGGATAAAAATTAATCTTAAAATAGCAAGCGTTGTCTCTATTTTTTGTGACTTCGTGTTATAACAAGTGCCTATGAATTATTGTTGTTTTTGTAGCCACAAAGGTTCATTGAAACAGCGTTTTGTGGTTGCTTTTGGCGCATTTCCAACACCCTCGTTGCTCGTTTAGCTTCTATTTCACTTCATAGACTTCAACAAAACTGAAAAAAAAAACGGGTCTGAGCGCTGTTATGTTATTTGCATATTTTGTGGGATTATAAAGCACATACTTATACACCATATACATATATATATGCCTTTACATATATATTATAAAATTTTTTGTGCACATTTTGGGGTTTTTAAGCGCTTGTTCATACATTATCTCTTTAATGTGTTTCTTTGCCTCATCTACATAAGCACGCCTACGCGTCTTTTTCAACGCCGATTGACACTCTTACACATTGTTGTTGTTAGTTTTTGTAGTAATCAACGCATATTTTTCGTGCGTGTGTAGTTTTATTAAAACATTTAGGAAGCTCATAAATTAATGCATTGTGTTTAAGCTGTGATTTTGGTTTGGCTAGCTGTTTTATTGTTGTTTTTTAAAGACCTAATAAAGCTTAACTCTGCCTTTTATGCAAATATAATAATTTTTAAATTTTTTTTAGATTTAATTTCTTATTTCTATTGTGTTTAAGTTTGAATTTTGGTTTTTATTTTTATTATTTTTGCTTTAATTTTATTTTCTGTTTTTACACTCTTTTTGGATAAATTATCTGGCAACACTCAACCCATCATTTGTGTACATTTTTATTATAACATTTTTTTGTAGTAATATATCTCATTATAATGCCATTAGTCATTTCTTGTCAATGTGTTAAAAGCTTTTATAAAACAAATATTTGTTTTGAAATATTAATTTAAATCATATATTATTTTTCTTTACAGGTGTTGGCTTTCAATTTTCATCGAGTTGCTTAGTTAGCGAGTCATCTCAAAAGGTGAGCTTAAGACTAAAATTATTTTACAGCATACTTTTATGGCTTTCACGAAAGCTGAATGTAAAAATGATATTATGGTTGGCTCTTTTCGAAAATTTGCTTCGCCCTAATTATAGGAAGCAGTTTTGAATATGTTAAAAATGCTACCATATATACTAATATTTTTGTATTAGTCTCGAAAATGCTAACAAAAACTTATGTATTAGAAATATTTTCACGTCTCATACCAACAAACTTGATGGTTTTTGGGCACAACAACACGAAATATATGTATAAGCAAGAAGAACAGATTTCTTATATCTAATAATTGACGTTACCTTCTTTCTATCGACTTGAAAATTACAAGCCTCTTAATAAAATGGTCGGGTCGACTTGAATGATGGGGTTAGGTAGTAAGTGTCTTGTCTTAAAATTCGTCATATGTATAAAATGGTATCCTCAAGAATATTGAACAAATTTCTTTACAATAAGTTTAAAAGCAAATCTTTGTTTGTTTTCGATTCGGGGGTTTGAAAGATATCTTTGCCAGATACCCACTATTTATATCCTGAACAAGGTATATTAAGTTTGCCACGATGTTGCAGTACCCAAAAGTCGAAGACCCTATAAAGTATATACATATATTTATAAAATATCAGAGTGACGAGCTGAGTGGATTTAGCCATGTCCGTCTGTCTCTGTATGTACATACAACTAGAAAATAAAGAGCTTCAATACCACCTAGCGGGAACTTTATTTTTATCAATATGTGTTTTAAGATTGAGTGAAAACGGTCCATAAATGCGCAAATGGGATGGTGATGCTAAATGAAACCTAAAATTTTGCCGTTATAGGTTCAGTTAACTGATTTCACGAGTAGAATAATTAGTTGGTTGATTTAAGATTATAAAGAATTTTATGGACTGAAAAAACAAGTTAAAATTATATGTGAAAGTCAATTCTTATCCAATCTGATTCACTTGTATAGCTATCTTTCAAATTTTTTCGACTACTTTTGCTATTTACTTGTAATTGTTAATTAAATTTAAAATTGATCATTCTATATTGATATAATACCAATATACTAGTAACATATACAATTTAGTAGACATTTTTTGAATAGCTTTTCTGTTATGGAAAAATGCACGAAGCTTATTTAGATTCATTCTTAATTAGATTCTTAGTCATGATATTGTCAATCGATAGTTTGTGATAAATCTTCCATTTATAAGCTATGGATTTCAAAAGAGTGTAACCGTTACGTGAAACCCTGAGTTTAGGTATCTGTAGTGGTTTTTAATACGCTTTCTTGCACATTCTCAACCTTCTTCTCAGGCTTCAGACTTTTAAATCAATATTAGTTTATGCAGCTGTGAGCCTCTCCTCAGTTGATTGTACAGCATTGTACAATGTTGTTGTGTTAACTACCTGTTAATGTTTCACTTTTTCTTGCATTTTTTCGATATTTCTTTTTAGTTATGCTTACGCTATGCCACCATTGACTGCTTGACGCCACTGTCAATGATGCTTCAGTGTGTCAACGATGTCCCGTTGCCGAACAATGACAATTGATTGTTTATGGTCACAATGAAATTGAAAAATTGTCTGCGTCTGAGCAGAGGAAATTATTTCTGGGTAGCTGGGTTATTGTTTTGTGAGTTTTGTTGTTGCAAGCACTAGACAAGTGCAACAATTCAACAACAGTTTCACTTTCATCAAATGCATAAATATTTACATAGTTTACTGTACACGATTGTTTTGATTATTGAGTGAGGTTTCTTGTTGATTTAAAAATTTAGCAGCAGAGACAAAGACATTTTTTACTCAATATATGAAAAATATTGTTATTTTGACTTTATTGCTATTTGCTTCACAGTATTTTTATCCGTTGCTTTAATACTGTATCCACTTTTCGTATATCGTACATTTACTAATTTTTTGTCATGGGTAGTTGGTTTTGAGGGAGCTCCGTCAAAAGCTCGGCAATTTTATTTTTAAAAGGCTCGCTCTGACCAGAAAAATTTCATAAACTCTTGATAAATTCATTAAACACAACTCCAATAAAAAAAATTTTATTATGCACACTAAAATTACATTGTAGACATCTACCCACGCTCTGCTGTTGATACTTCCTACATTTCTTTACAAGTAAACCATATATACTCATTTTTCTGACAGAATAATTGTAAAATCTGCATTTATATGCATTAACGACAATTTTATGTGATCCGGTAGGTTCATTCCATTATGTGTGGGCTAAGGTGTTGCGATGTGAAAAATATTCAATAATTTTTCATTCGAGAATTTAACATCTCGTGCCCACAATTTCAATCCAAACACAATAAACTTATTGTTGACAAGTTTAGATCAATACTGTATCTATGTAGGTTTTATCTTCTCGAAGATAATGAATTATTGGTTAGGAAATGGAGTGATTTGTAATAGTATTTAGACTACATTTCCTAGTTCACCTAGTAATGTTTTTAAACCTTGACTAGGTGGTTGTTTTCATCATACGTATACAACATAAAAAATGGTTCAACAATTACAATCAACATTTTTTTTTTTGATTTCTTTACGTAATATGTAGTTATAGGTCAGTCAGAATGGGGTGTCTATAGTTAGGGCCAAGTTTTGTAGTTATGTTGGCCTCGTTGCTTCTAAGATACTATTTTTTCATTCATCCTGTCACTGAAATCGTTGCGGACAAATACAATTTATTTGATAAGATGTTAGGGGAAGGGCTTCAAGTTTAACTAACATCAATATCGTCACTTTTCTGGAGAAAAAAATGGGTATAGTATGATAATGATAAAAAAGTGATAGCCTTTGCATCTAGACTTCTGCATCACCATCGCTGACAGTGTTAACATGAAAAGTGTGGAGAAAGCTCCTAAAAGGGTAAAGAAATAAGGAGTATATCCCGCTCTCAGAGAAAAAGAGTTCATAAATCTCCATAATCCATTCTTGAACAATATTCGAGATCGATATATTTTACATGTTCTGTAAAAAAATGTTGCGCTTTATTTCGTTATTTCAGAAAACTTATAGACTTATTTTATTCGATTAAATTTAAACAATTCTACAGAGTTATTTTTTTAATCATAGCATTATATATTATACATACCTATATGTATTTATGTGGCTTAAAGTCAAATCGAAAACCTTAAGTTGTGCAGTTTAGAAAACCCTAATAAAATAAGTCGCTCAAGATGTTTATTTTGAAAGGTGGAATAAGTAGTTTTAGCTTGATAGGAAAGTAATACTTGCTTTTGTGCAGCTGCTGGTGATGCTCAGGTTGCATTTTAGTTGGTGATGTTAAGCATTTTCATTATTTGCACAAATGTATTTATGTAAGTATGTATATTTGAGTGTTTATTTATATTTAGACCACATGCACTTCCATATTGAAACTGCGCACCCATTTGTAGACGAAACTCGTCTCTCGTTTTCATTTGATGTTTCATGTTTCAGGTAATAAAAAATTTCCCATACAAATTCTACATTAGCAGTATTACACACATGTGTACTTAGCGATACCAGCATGAAATTATTGCTGTTACATTTTTCAAGGTGTTGAAAATGTAATTGAAGCATGCATAGACGGCACATCGTTAACACTTCGTTAATTGAATCGACTTATGTGCATAATGAGAAATTGAAAGTTAAAGTGGTAACAAAACTGATTTTTAAACATGAATTTAAAGTTTTGGATAGTTTTTACTGAAATCGTTAAATTGAAGATTACTATCGTCGATGTATAAGATTTGTGTGTATATAATATTATAAGAATATAGTTTCTTTTTAACTAAAAATATTGCTGGTAGTAAATTTTTCTCTCTTTTAATAATTGTACAAGTAGAACAATAATACTTTGAGATCTGTCTCTTCATAGCAGAACTGTTTGGTTTTTCTTTAAGTGGTGATTTTCAAATCTGAACTAATAATCGACAAATGAAAACTAGAGGTAGTTTAAAGTACTTTTTTATTATTAACGTTTCTCTTTTTCTTATATTTCTACCGAAAATTTACAACCAAGCGTTTCGAAATATGACGACTCCTAATTTTTCAAGATTTTTCAATTATAGAACCTTAGAAATAAATATAATTAATTATATGGTTATAACGATCCAGTTACCATTGACAGAAATAGTTCTTTAAACTGATTCAGTGATATCGGAAATGTCACATGTATTGTTAGCTGAAAATAGGTCCTCCATTGCTGCAGCGATTCCAGCCCGTTCCGTGGATGAAACTTAAAAAAAATTTCTTCTAGAAGATATTGCTTGTACCTTCAACCTATGGTTGAAAAAAATCAAACATTTTCAACATGGCGGCGTTAAAAAAAAAAGAAAAACCGTTCACTTCAGTTGCACCGGAACTATAATATTTTTAATACGGTTCCGAAAACTGAACAGCTTCTTGGGGAGAAAAGGAGGTTTGCAAAATTTCAGATCGATATCTCTAAAACACAGGGACTTTTGCACGTATACACAGACAGACGGACATGGCTAAATCGACTCAGCTCGTCATGTTGATCATTTACATATATATTTTATTTATCTCCAACTATGTTACAAACTTAATACTCGTATATTATACACTGTTCTGGGTATAAAAATTGTTACTGCGAGAAAAAAGCATTTAAAGATAAACTGATGTAGCTGATAAAACTAAGTGGCTACATTGTAGAAGGCTGTAACTCAAAAACTATTTGAAATATAGATTTAAAATTTTTGTTTGATGTTTTTAAAGCTATGACTTATCGATATATGGAGGAACTCGATTTATTTTTAATTTCACACTAGATGTGCCCTTTCAATTTTTTTTTAGAACAGCAAAGATATTTAGAGGATTCAACTTTTTGTCAACACTATTTTGTACCTTTTTTCGAAAATATACTAATTTCCTCAAGATATTTATTTTGGTTTTCTAGGTTTTTTTTAAGTGTACTAAACTAAGCAAAATCAGGTGTTGAAATGTAGTTCAACTATAACTAAACGTTAATAGTGACTAAGTGC